CGGCCGCTCTCAGCATCCCTGTTACTCCTGAAGAAATAAAAGAACTAAGAAGAGCTAAGAGAACTAAGTTTAGAACTGAGACAACTTGCTCAGTGTTGCCTGTCATCACAAGCATACAAACCATGGCTTTTCCTCTTTCCAAATCTCTGCCTTTCTCCCCTGTAGCACAAGGGTTCATTTTGTCATAAAAGACAGCAGGCTGAGTGACTTAGGGACTGGGAGGGAATTCATGGGTTGCCTCTAGCAAGTTTTGCAGAAGAGATGAAATTAGAATCCAGGAAGACCCCTTAAAACCATTATTAGAACTGATATTCTGCATTCTGCCAGGGGTGAGGAAAACAACCCCCCAATCAATCACTTAAGTTTCATTTCACACATCAGTTTTAATTTCAATTGTGTCATTGTGTGACTTCAGATTGGAACAATGGCTCTACTACCTCCCAGAAGAGGCAATGAGCAAAAAATTTGAAATACTTTGTTAAAATCATCATTAGAAAGATTTCCTAGTCTTAAAGAAATGCTGATAAAGGCAACACGTAGCTCCATTTATAGTGTGACCCAGGGAAAGTTACTCCCCTTGGTGGTTCCCTTTAAAAGATGCTCTCTCAGCTAATGCCTGAAATTCCATTATCAAAGTTTCCTCTTGGCTTAAGTCCTCCAATACATACGAACTTAGTCCAAACTCCTCTGAAACAAGCTAAACATTAAGCTATCAGTCAGTTAAGCCTTTGGTGAATGACTGAGGAAGGTTTTGACAGGAGAGTGGGAGAGGAAGCAGAAGGCTAAAGTCCTCGAATTTACAAAGTGAGAGCTCATGTGACACAGTTGGGAAGACCAGGAACCTTTTCATGATTTTGCTCTGATTTTACAAATACTTGGCAAAATAAACAAATGACTCAGGAATGTCAAAATCACCAATACCACCAGTTAAAAATTAATATTATCTTCCCAAATGGTGGTTCCAGGTTACATATTTGCCTGAAAGAAAACCCCCGAAGAAAATGTGGGCACACGAAGACAGGAGAACCAGGTCTTGTTTTATGGGCAGCATTTGGAGAAAGAAAGGAAAGAAACATTGGAGTGATGGGTTTATCATTTGAATGGCTTTATTTTGCTAGCAGTCTTATGTCATCCTTTTAAGCCCTCTAAATTAACCCATGATTCAGGGACTATTATTATTCCCACTTTAAAAAAATAGGGGGAGGGGGACAACTGAGAAGTTGAGACACTTGCCTCAGGTTGCACAGCTGATCAGGCAGACGTGGGTCCACCTGACCTAAAAGCTCCATTTCCATTCCACTCTCCCTCATCAGAGCAGAGAGCTCAAATTCTGCTGCTTTCTAGAAGGGTAGAGGTGTCCTCTTTCATGGATATCAGACATATAACTTCTCACTGATCTCTCTGCTGGACTAGCCAAGCAGCCAAAGAGCCAACATTATGGAGCGAAGAGGAACTAGACAAAATGTCCCCATTTGAAATCCAGCATAAGTATTGCATGACCACATGCGGCAGAAACAAATCTCTATTGGGTCATGGCTTGAAGAAATCGGTCACACCATTGATTGTTCAGTGTTGGGTTTAGAGAATGAAAGTTTCCTGTGGAAAGTCGAGAAAAGTGCTAAGCCATGAAGCGTAGTCATTCAGCGCTCAGGCTCTGGAGTTACAGAGTTGAACTTGTGTGCTGCTCTTCTATTATTAAGAAACTCGTCCCCTCTGAACCTTAACTTCCTCACCTGTAAAATGGGGGTCACGATTAAATAAGATGGTGCGTTGAATGCCTGAAGCATAGGAAATGCTCAAAAATATTATCATCTTTTATTTTTTTCCTGCATCTCTTCTTAAAAGTCACGACACAAAATTCTATCGCATACAATATAGTAACAAAAAGAAAAAGGAGATATCAAAGTCTCTTGCACAAGCTTGCTTTTGTACAAACCTGTGGGTATCGGCTTCCTGCTGGATTTTGTTGGACACATGTCAGATGTCCAGCGTGAAGCTTTGGAATGTTGAGTGCAGCTTTGAACATGGCCAAGAGACAAGGCCAAGTGAAATCTTGTGACTTTTACCCCAAGTGATATAGCTGGAATAACAAAGAAGAATGAGGGCATGTTTTACTTGGTGTCTCTCTTTCTTTGGTGGCTTTTGTTTTATTTCCTTGGAAGGTTTTACCCTGGCATTTTTCAGAAATAGTGCAGTTGTTTGAGATGATTACAGGCAATCACCATTTCCCAGAGAAGAAACTATGTTTAGCTAGCTGACCAGCTGCTCCTCAGTGCCTGGCTGGGGAGAAGCACAGCTGGTCTATTGTTTACCAGCATCAAATCTTACTAAGAGAGAGAACGGCCTGAAGGCCTTTGGAGAGACTGACGAAGCAGGATGGATTGTGAGGAGGGAACCAGAGAACTCATTTGGGAATGAGAGTGAGTTTTGATTGTGGAACATGAAATCCAACCAACAAAAGAACAAACCTGATGGCAGGCTCACCTGACAGTTAAGGCACAGATGTCTTTTTAAATCCATGCTTGAGTTCGACAAATATTAACAAATCAAGGAGATCATCTGAGTTTAGAGGAGAAGTCTTCCTTGGAGATCTTGAAGCCATATTATCCAATAAGACAGCCATCAGCCATGTATGGCTACTGAGCACTCGAAATGTGGCAAGTTCAAATTGAGACGTGTTGTAAAATACATGATTTCAGACTTAGAATAAAAAAGTAATTACTTTTTTATGGTGATTACATGTGGAAATGATAATACTTTAGATATACGTATTGGGTTAAACAAAATATATTCCTAGAATTAATTTTACTTGTTTTGTTTTGCTTTTTTTTTTAGTGTGGCTACTAGAATATTTTAAATACATATTTGGTTGACATTATGTTTCTATTGGATAGCCCTACTTTAGAATTTCGTATGGAATTATTATCCCTATTCACGACTCCAGTTTCTGTTTACCTCCATTTTATATGCTGATTCTGTTGATCTCAGGCCATTGACAATCAACACTTATCCCGAACTTTTCTACCCTAGGGCTATTGTTCTTGCTGTTCATTCTATCTAGGATGCTCATTCATCCAGACCTTCTCATGTCTGGCTCCTTTTTCAACTTCCTGATCTCAAATGCTCTCTCTCCAGAGAGGCCTGCTCTGACCACGAGTAGCTCACACCGACCTCTTCTGTTTTCTGTATAGCACTGGTTTCTATAGCCTGCCTTCCCAACTTGACTGTGAGTTCCATGAGAAAGTCAACTGCATTCACCCCTCTATTTCCTGCCTTCAGAGCAGTGCCCAGCTAACTCATAGCTGGCCCACAATAAGTATTTCCTGAATTGCTAAGTGCATTAGTCTTAAATCTGATTGATACTGTCTAAACTGGGTTCCAACCTGTCACCCTTCATTCATATCATCCCGACTGAGCGCTTTCTGTGGACCAGCCACCATGCTACATCTTGGGGATAGGGTAACAGATGTCTTGGTCTTTACTCTCTGGGAGCACAGGACTTAGTGGGTTCCAAGGACAAAACTGTCTGCAAATGGTGTTGCCGTATTACCGCCATAAGCTTTTGTTGCATTTCACCGTGCGTACTACTAAGGAAATAACCCAACACAAGTCTGAAAACAGGATAACCTCAAAGCTCAGACTCCCTGTTTACCCGGAGCTGCAGATGGTTGTCGAAAAGGCAGCTTCCCTGTACTCTTCTGCAGATTAACCATTCCAAAGACTATGATTATGGGCAGGATCTAGCTGTGGAAGGCTCTAAATGAGAAGGTAGTTTGAGTCCAAAGGGCATATGTTTCAGAGGTTTTTAAGGGAAGTCTGACCTGTTCGTACATCGCTAGATTACAAAGTGGTTGTGGATCACTATGTGGAGCAGATGCTCGTTTTCGTTTGTATCGTGTATATTCTACGAATGTGTGTGGGAAAGACAAAGGCATTCCAATGGTTAACCTTGACTGCGTCAGGGTTATGGAGAAGGGCAGGATAATATGACACTATAAATGTTTTCTTCCTGTACCTCATACTGGTTTTTTTGTTGTTGTTGTTGTTACAGTAACCATGGATAAATTTTGTACTTTCAAAAATAGTCATTTTTATAAAGAAAATTTAAAAAGAAAGCTTCTTTGTATCCGATAGAAGCTAATTCTCACATCTTGACTTTTTTCATCTCAGTTCTGTGCCTCAGCTACTAAAGCAAAGACAAACGACCAGGCTGGGTATCAAAAAATAGAAAATAAAGACTGATCTCACTTCTGAAGAATTCGATGGTGTCATGGTTCCCTGAATACTCACCTAGCACACTTGTATATCACAACTCTCTTGCCATAGGACTTCCTTAATCTCCTTAATTGGGCGGGGGGGTACCTTTTATTGAGGGCATCCATTATAAGCCAGGTAATTTGCTTACATATTTTAATTTTATTTTCAAATCAACCTTTAAAGGTAGGTCTTACTATCTTTGCTTATCAGATGTGGAAATTGAAGTTCAAGGAGGTTAGATGAATTGCCCGAGGTCATTGAGCTGGTTAAAGACAGAGCCCAACTTTGAACTTAGCCTTTTTCGAACTTTTGTCCAATTCACTACCATTGCTACCTTTTTCTAAAGGATAAGATATAATGAAATGTTTTGCAACTGGTTCCACAGCTGAATTAAACTCTATTCTCAATGGAAGCCCAATTCTAGGCACCTGTGAAAGACTTCTGATCTCTAAAAGTTTTTCCTAACTGGCCTTCCGTAGAGCCTGATAGCCCACTAATGGAATTAGTCCCATTGGGGAAAAATGATTCAAAGAGCATGTTCTCCTAGGAGTCTGCTCAGAGTGTCCCTCTCAAGCACTGGGAGCAAAAAAGTGGCTTCTGGATATTGGAACGGTGAGGGGGTGCGGGGCGGGGTGGATTTACAAAACTAATGGGTTTTATCTAGTAATGGATCTCTGCAAGCAACCTGGTTAAAAATACTGTCTTCTCTCTTTTTAAATGGAATGGGCTTTTTCTCCCCACAGAAAAAGCGCACGTTGAAGGGCTCCATTGAACTCTCCCGAATCAAATGTGTCGAGATTGTGAAAAGTGACATTAGCATCCCTTGCCACTATAAATACCCATTTCAGGTAAGTCCATCATGCCTAAGGGGACTAGCTCCTCTTTCCTTGTATGATGGTCGAAATCCTCAGTCATTGTAATAGAAGGCGGATAGGATGGCTCTGATCTAGGGTTAGAACTTACACCAAGACCAGAAGAAAGCTGCTGTGTTCTTTCAATCAATTACACATTCACTCATTCATTCAATAAAGATTAAGCACAAAATCTTGAAAAAGTTGTCGTTCCTCATTCTCTTTTCCCTTATGTCTTCCCGACCTCAAAGAAAGTCCTAATTACTCTCCTCCTACGGGAAGAGGGAAAACTACTAAGGGCCCCAAGCTGAATGTTCTTTAAGTGCAGTTTACTCATGACTTGGGGCAACCGATTGCAATCTTTGGTTAGAAATTACTTGGAGGTTCTGGGATAAAAAGAATCAGATTGTAAAATCTGAGAACTCTCTGGACTTGTTTCTGTCCTAGTGGCCACCAGCCGGCCACATGTGGATGTTTAAATTTAAATGCAAATTAATTTAAATGAAATGATATTGAAAATTCAGCTCCTGAGTCACACTAAGCTACACTGAATGAATGAACATTTCATGTGTTCGATAGCCACATGTGGCTAGTAGCTGCTATGTCGGACAGCACAGATAATAGAACACTTCCTTCGCTACAGAAAGTTCTATTGGACAGAGCTGGTGGAGGGTATCTTTAGTCTTTAGGCTGCGACATTGTCTAAATCTTATTACCAATCTTGGCATTTGTGACTCTAAGGTAGTGGCTGTCTCCTTGCACATCATAGGGTATCGTTCTCGTCTGCCAATCTGAGGGGTAAATATTCTACTTTAAATGTCGCATAGAAAAAGACTTTTCCTACTAGAACGGTGACTTACATGAGATGGAAATTTTAGGCCTGAAAGTAAAAGGAATAACATGTATTTTCCTGTCATTAAAATTCTAATTACACATGAGTGCATGAAAAATTACACATGAGTGCATGAAATTCAAAGATCAGCAATCTAGTTAATAGCATTGGACCAGTGTCAGTTTCCTGGTTTTGAAAATGTACAGTGGTTATATAAAATGTTTTCACTGGGGAGAAGTGGGTAAAAGTACATAAGAACTCTGTACTATTTTTGGAACTTCTTGGGTGTCTTAACATTATTTCAAAACAAGAAGTTTTTAAAATCCCAATTATACATTTGACATCTAATATCTTACTCTTTCATATGCCAGAAAGATTTTCTTTAACTACTAAAAAATTAATATGAGAAATAAACGTGCTGTCAAGAGAACTCTTTCTCCAGCTCTTTTAATTTAGTGATATCTTAGAGACCCCACACTCAGCCCAGTAAGCTAGACTGGCCTGCTGCCAGTCATCCATCTCTGGGTGTGCTGCTCACCTTGAACTTTGTGTGTGTCTTTAGGTTGTGCATGACAACTACCTCCTGTACGTGTTTGCTCCAGACCGCGAGAGCAGGCAGCGCTGGGTGCTGGCTCTTAAAGAAGGTAATTAACCTCCTGTGTGACTGAGTCCCTGAGACTTCTTGATCTTCCACTTGGCTTGGGTTCCACAGCAGAATAAAAGACAGCTGATAGTCAAACATTTCTCCCTTTTGGTGTTGGTGGAAGGTCCCAACTTTTCAACCTGGGCCCAAGAGGCAACAACAAGTACAGGGGAGGATCAGTCAAACCCAGCCCATCACCTGTTTTTGTAAGGCTCCAAGCTAGAGATGATTTTTATATTTTTAAATGATTCCATTTTAAAAAGTTATTTAAGTACCTACGTAGAGTATTGATTTTGCCTGTTGTTGAGCAATACCTTAAATATTTACTATCTGCCCCTTTAAGTAAAAGTTTGCTGACTCCTGATGTGGTATGAAGAATAAGATAACTCCAGCATAGACCTTTGAGTTAGAAGACCTGAGTTTGAATCCTGACTCTTCCACTACTAGCTATGTGGGTTTGGGCAACTTTCTCAACAGCTCTGTGCTTCAGTTTCTTCATCTACTTTTAAAAAAGGAGAGAAGAGGGAATACTAACGATAGTACCTACCTCCAGAACTGCTGTGAGTAAAGCCCTTGGAACGAACCTGGACCGTAGTCAGCACTCCATAAACATTAGCTAGCTTAAAATGTTTTCTGATCATCGGTAAAGGTATTTCTTAAGGTTAGCCTTCCTGACAACATAATTTGACACAGCACTGAGTTTAGGTGCATGGGATGTGGAGCCAGGCTGCCAAGGTGAAAATCCCAGTTCTGCCAATTATTAGTGTGTAGCTTTGAGCAAGTTCCTTGACTTTTCAGTGTCTCCATTCCCTCAGCTATAAATTCTGACTAATAACAGTCATAGGGTTATTGTGTGAACTAAATGAGTTATGATGTATCAGACATTTAGGACAATACCCCCAAAAAAGCACTCAATCAGTATTACTGTTATTATTGTTATTTAGCCTGAAGCCCTGGATTTGCAGGAGAATTGAGTTCAAATATTAATGTCTCTAAGTAGTTATGGGGACTAAGGGTAAGCAAACCATTTGGAACCGCAGGAGCCACATTGCCTCTATCTGAAAAATAAGAATAAAAATGCAAATCTTATCTTCTTCCAAGGTTATTGTGAGTCTCAAATGGGAGGTAAACAAGCAAGTGCTGGGTAAACTGAAAAAAACTCTCAAGTGTAACAGTCACGAGGCAAAGAACAAACACTAAAGTAAAAAGTAATCGAAAGAGCCCCAACTATGTACACCGTCCGTTCTCCCTCTGTGAAGGGGTTTCACTCATAGGAAGTTAAAGCTAGAAGAAACATGAAAGATAATCTGTCTAGTTCTCCAGTTTTTATATTTGTTTTTTTCTTTTTT